TATAATAGTACCTTGATGACCTGCTGCATCATTTGTACCAGGTGCAGCAGCAGCAGCAGCAGAAGCAGCAGCAGCAGCAGCAGCAGACGAGAAGGAAGCCCTAAGATAATCAATGTATTCAGTAGCAGCTGCAGCATGCTGCTGGGCATCAGCAGCAGCTTGCTGCTGCGCCGTCAACGTTCCTGCATTCCCCGCACTACTCCCTGTTGCAGCTGCATCCTGCTGCTGTTGCTGCTGCTGCTGCTGCTGCTGCTGCTGCTGCTGCTGCTGCTGCAGTATAAATACATCAGGATTAGGCTTTTTAATTAATTCAAATAAATTAAGTAAATGGCTACCGCTGCTGCATGCAAAGACACGACGGCCATCAACAATAGAGAAAGGGACAGGTAATAATATTTGTCTCCCTCTGTTCCCTTCTATCCTATAGACTAAACGTAGACGGAACTGCAGCATATGCTGCTGCTGCTGCTGCTGCTGCTGCTGCTGCTGTTGTTGTGCTGTCGTTGATAGTCTACCCATACTAGTTATACTGCTACTACTACGTAAATGCCCGTTGTTATTGTTGCTGCTGCTGCTGCTGCTGTTGTTATTGTTGCTGCTGCTGTTGTTATTGTTGCTGCTGCTGCTGCTGCTGCTGCTGCTGTTTATATAGAAAGATAATTCATATACAAAGACAGACCCAAGAGGAGCAGCAACACATAATAATCTCTTATAGCGACGGCAGCAATCCCTTTGCTGCTGCAGCAGCAACTCATCTGTTTCTTCTTCTTCCTCTAGTTGCTGCTGCAGCAATTGCTGCTGTATTTGCTGCTGTATATATCCTGGTGGTGATGGATATATAGATAATAATAATTGCTGCTGTTGCTGCTGCTGCTGCTGCAGCTGCTGCAACACTTGCTCAACCTCTGCCTCCTCTCCCCTACCCATACATTCCTCCCCATCCCCTACCCATGTTAGTATAGGGGGCCCCCATGTCTCTATCTGGGGGGCCCCCCCATAGTGGGGCCCCCCATGGGTACCCCCTCCTCCTCCTCCTCCTCCTCCTCCTCCTCCTCCTTGTGGGGGCCCTCTTTGGGGTCCCCCTGTCCCCCACGAGTGCGCATGAGAAGAGGGGCCCCCATGAAATGATAGGGGCCCCCCCCCAAGGGGGGCCCCCAATGAAGGAAGTAGGGGGGCCCCCATAGGGGCTAATTCAAGTACCGTTGCATGCAGATCACAACCAGGGTACTCAATTGCATTAGGTATAAGAGCAAGAATAGTAATTAAGGAAGAAAAAGGGGATAAACAGGACAGCAGCAGCATATCTGTACCTGCACTAGGTACTGTTGTTGCTGCTGCTTCTGTTGATGCAGTTATTGCTGCTGCTGCTGCTATTGCTGCTGCTGATCCAGGTCCTGTTCCTCCTCCTCCTCCTCCTCCTGCTGCTGCTGCTGCTGCTGATGGGGATTCTGCTGCTGGTAGATCTAGCTCAAGGGAGCCCAAGGAATCAAAAGAGAGGAGAATTTTTTGCTGCTGCTGCTGCTGTAATAGTTGTATTTGTTGCTGCTGCTGCTGCTGCTGCTGCTGCAGTATACCATCAGGTATAGGAGCAATTGTTGCAGAGCAGCAGCAGAAACAACCAGCTAAATGTCTTACTATATAGATAGATGCCTCATAGGCCATAGTATACTCAGGTAATCTAACAACAAAGCTCAGCAGCAGCAAACCAGCAGCAGGAGAAGCAGCAGCAGCATAAAATACATCCGCGCTGCTAGGGGCACGAGGGTGCAGCAGCACATCAGGAAGCAGCAAACATTGACATACTTCTACTGCACCATTGCTGCTGCTGCTGCTGTTGTTGTTGTTGTTGTTGTTGCTGCTGTTGCTGCTGCTGTTACGGTGACCTCCTGCTGATCCTGATGATCCAGCTTGTGCTGCTGCTGCTGCTGCATAAGCAGCAGGATCCACCTTCCCGCTGCTGCTGCTGCAGCTGCTGCGGGGAGAGGACAGCAGCGCGGGGGTTAGCTGCTGCTGCGGATCTTGTGGCCATTCTATTCGGGTGTATCTGCAGCAATCAGCATAAAGGGTACTAGATACTAGCAGCAAACCTGCTTGTCCTATACACACATATTCACACCAGCAACAGCAACAGCAGCAGCAGCAGCAGCATGAGTAACAGCTGCTGCTGATGGTAGTGGTGCTCGTCTTGCTGCTCGTGCTGCTGCGGTTGTTTGGTCGTTGTGCCGTCGCTACAGCTGCTGTTGTTGCTGCTGCAGCAAGCTGCAGCAGCATATACAGCCGCAGCAGCAGCATAAGCAGCAGCAGCATAAGCAGCAGCAGCAACAGCAGCAGCAGCAGGACGTCTTACCAACAGCAACAACAGATCGACCCGAATGGCTAACAAACAATGATACTGCTTCTTCTTTAAAAGAAACTGCAGCAGCAGCAGCAACAGCACCAGCAGCAACAGCAGCAGCAGCAACAGCAGCAGCAGCAACAGCAGCAGCAGCAACAGCAGCAT